CTTGGTGAATACCAGTTTGAAGGCCCAAATCCTAGAGGATCAAAAAAAGAAGCTCTAAGGAAGGAGAATTTGAAGAATGAAATTTTGCATGGCATAGAGTCCAAGTTTCAGATGAAGTCTGATGGGGTGTATTATTTAGGAAACAGAGTTTGGATACCTAAGATTGGCAATCTTAGACCAACCATTATGGACGACGCTCATAGAACAAAATATTCGATTCACCCGGGAGCAGACAAGATGTATAAGGACTTAAGAGCATATTATTGGTGTCCTGGAATGAAGAAAGACATTGCACTGTATGTAAATAAGTGTTTAACTTGTGCAATGGTCAAGGCTGAACACCAGAAACCTTCTGGTCTGCTCCAACAGCCCAAAATTCCTCAATGGAAATGGGAACAAATATCGATGGACTTCATAACTAAGTTACCCCGATCAGGAAAAGGGCATGATGCTATATGGGTGATCGTAGATCGATTGACAAAATCTGCTCATTTCTTGCCAATCCGAGAAGATTATAAGATGGAGAAGTTAGCTCAGATATATACAAACAAAATCGTCGCTAGGCATGGGGTACCTGTTTCCATTCTATCGGATAGGGACAGCCGTTTTACGTCAAGGTTTTGGCAGTCGCTTCAGCAAGGGATGGGAACTCGTCTAGACCTAAGCACTTCGTATCACCCCCAGACTGATGGGCAAACTGAAAGAACTATCCAGACCCTGGAAGATATGTTGCACGCCTGTGTTATAGATTTTGGTGGAAGTTGGGACACGCATCTTCCGTTAGTGGAATTTGCCTACAACAACAGCTACCATACCAGCATCCAGTGTGCGCCTTATGAAGCTTTGTATGGGCACAAGTGCAGATCTCCACTGTGTTGGTCAGAAATTGGCGATAGGCAACTAACTGGACCTGACGTTATCCAAGAAACTTCCGATAAGATTATGGTAATCAGAAATCAACTCTGGGCTGCAAGGGATCGTCAGAAAAGTTATGCCGACAATCGAAGGAGACCATTAGAGTTCCAAAAAGGTGATAAAGTTTTTCTAAAGGTCTCATCATGGAAAGGAGTGATGCGTTTCGGAAAGAGAGGTAAGTTGGGTCCTCGATACATTGGTCCCTTCGACATAATAGAAAGGATTGGACCAGTGGCATACAAGTTAAGTTTACCCTCAGAGTTAAGCGCTATCCATAACACATTCCATGTATCAAATCTCAAAAATGTTTAACTGACGAAACTCAAGTGGTGCCACCTGGGGACGTGCAAATTAGCGATCAACTGCATTTCGAGGAAAAACCCATAGAAATTATGGATAGAGAAGTTAAGCAGTTGAGGCGTAGCRGGATCCCTATAGTAAAAGTTCATTGGAACTTGAAGTATGGGCCATAGTACACGTGGGAAAGGGAAGACTTCATGAAAAGCAAGTATCCCCACTTGTTCTCAAAGCCAACCATGATTTGAATTTGACGATTAAATTTCGGGACGAAATTTTTCTGGTATGGGGAGAATGTGACAATTCTGCATTTTTGGGATTTCAGGTTAGTACCTTATTTTAGGATCTTTATTGAAAACTAAGTCTTTCTAGGATTTAGCCTCGATAATCTAAGATCATCTTGCTTATCTCCCAAGATTAGTTTGTTAGATTATATTTCGACGGGTAGCTAACCAAGTTAGTTTATGCAATGCCAAATAGTCTTGAAATGTTTCATAAAAATAAAGTTGATATTTAAGTCCAATCTTTTTATATTAAGCTGCCAATTAATTTTAAAAGAGTGGAGTATTAGAATCTTTTGTGAAATTGTTTTGTTTATTTAAAATTATTGGGGTTTAGTATTTAGAAAATAAATGCATCTTGGGCTTGGGCCTTTAAAGGCCAGCCCATTCCTTCTCTATAAGCCCCATATAAATATCCCTATCCATTTTAAAATTCCTCACTCTCCAAAACTCCAGCTATCCCTATCTCTCTATCTCTCCTTAACTTCATAACCTTCCAACCGATTCTAATCCTCCTTGCAAAACTCAAGACTCTTGCTGTTCTTGAGACTCGTTTGTATCAACCTATCAAGAAAAGGTATGCCTTAAAGCTGTTCTATTTTCTTTTAGATATCCGAAAGTCTTTGTCCTTCTCCCTACTTGATTCTTAAGTAAAGTTATRGGATTTAAAGAGGAGAGATTATTCATCAAAGACCTGYATGTGTTTTCGTTGGGATGATAATCAGTGACCCATGATTCTTTAATCTCTAAGAAAGAAAGAGAAAATCTTTGCATGTGAGGTCCGATCATACTTTCGGATGATAGAATCTGCAGGCATCTTTAAATCGGATGTCTCTTCTTGAAATCTCGTTGAAATCAGAATCTTATTTGTTTTGTTATTTTTCTGGAATTTATTTAAAGTTGATGATTTTGTGTTAGAGTTTTGACTCTTGATAATGTTGAACTTGAGACCCCACCCCATCATTGCTACCATTCTTGGGCATGCAACCGGTTTGGGAGGCGTGTGACTCAAGGTTGTAGAATTTTTGAAAAGAGTGTTAAACCCACTCCAAATCTCTTGATTTTGAGTTTGATTATGATAGTTGGTGGCTGTCATCATTGTTTTGGGATGATATTTAATGATGTCATTATTTGGATTTTGGAAGGTTCCTTTTTATTAAATATTAAAATATTAACTTCATTATATGAAAACACTTGATGGCTTTGCATTGGAAACAACTTTGCCCTATCTGAGTCAAGAAAACCGCTAAGTAATGTAGCGCTGGTCGGTCTGTCAGGAAGTTCGAGCGAGCCTAGGAAGCCTCTAAAGGAAACATTCGRATATTCGTCAAACTAGTGAGTTCTCACGGCCCCACTTTTACTGCTTTTGTATATTTTATGGGGGAAAAGCATGAGATTGAGCAAACTTTGCATGTTTATGTTATATAAAATTTTGGACTAAAGAACTGTTTAGTCGATGCTTGCTCAAAACTTTTGGACTAAGGAACTGCTTAGTCAAGCTCTGTTGGAACCTCTGGACTAAGGAACTGCTTAGTCGGTTTATTAT